CTCTCTCTGTCTTTTTGGCAAGGGCATGCGTCCTATAGCAAAAACTTCTAATAAAAAATGATAATGAATATGCTAATTACCCTGATTTGATCATTATACATTGTATTCATGTGCTTGTGGAGAGGCCTAAAAACATTTGACCTTTAGACACATGTTTTTAGACTGGCTGCTCCCCACACGTACTGAAAAGTCTCACTATACCCCATAAGTAAGTACAATTAATGTCTAAATGGAAAGAGATGGAAAGAAAGAAGGAAAGAAGGAAAGGGAGAAAGGAAGGGAGAGAGAGAGAGAAGTTGTTGATGACTAAAGCCTTGATTCTCCTTTGGCCTATTAATTTTTTTTTTTTTACCTGTACCAAAATTGAGATTTTAAAAAAAGACAGTGTCAAAGCTAAGTCTCTAAAGCTCAGATATTCCTCTAGCAACATGAGTTTTTTCACATATGAAGGAGAAGCATTGAAATGTGTCCCGGCCCGCAGGACAGTTGAACAGTTACCTGAGGGAGGGAGTGAGAAGAGGGACAGTTACACAGAGTGGAGACAAGACGAGGTGTTGATCAAGTCTTGTTTATTGAGGAAGAATGGCGAGCTTATATACAGGCTGGTGGGTATTCATTGGTTGCCTGAAATGCAAATGAGGTATTGCAGATGGACCAATCATTGGTGCCCCGGAAATTGCCCTAAATGCAAATGAGGGATTCTGGCTCAACCAATCGGCGAGTGTCCTGCTTGTTGACCAATCAGCTTGAAGATTCAGAGGGAGCCCATCAGGAATCTGATATGGCTTTCCAGTGATGGTTAGAACCGTCACTGTTATTGTTTGCTCAACGGGGAAGTGAAACCCAAAAGTTTCCTAAGATGGTGGATAGCTCTTAAGATGGCTCCTGTGTCATTCCCTTAATGCAGCACCCTCCACATGTCCCCCTTTTTTATTTTGAAAAGGGAGGAGAAAAGCCTGGGGGAATTGTGCTTGTCTTAGGTTGGAGTTGTTTTGTGAGCCACAGGTCCTTCCTTACCCACCATTGGATAATCCCATTGCGATGATGGGTTTCGTTTCTTAGGTGGAAGGACCATACAGCCATTGGGCTCAGACTCTCTTACCCGTCTTTGGCTAACCGATTCAGTGCCTCAGGCAGGAGCACAGTCTAGGCTCCACGGTCCTCCATGTCCAGTTTATGGTAGTGGACTTGGATAGGCTGCATTTTTATTGAATCGATTTGTTGTTTAAGGAATGCCATGAGCTTATTGAAAAGGACAGGCCCCAAAGAGCAAACAATCAAAAGGCCAAAAAGAGGACCAAGTAAGGGGAGCAGAAATGGGAGAAGTCCGTTTCACGTGGTCCATAAGGGGTTTTCGGAGAGTTGTTTTCTGCGGTTAAGATTTTCTTGTAGTTTATTCAGCTTGTCACGTACTATGCCGGACTTGTTGGCATAAAAGCAGCAGTGTTCTTGTAAAACAAGACAAAGATCCCCCCTGTTCTGCGAAGAGGAGGTCTTGTTTCTTAATCAGAGATTATAACTGGAGGAAAAGGTGTGTGGCCTGAGAAACTTGTTTAATTTGTGCCTGAGAAACTTGTTTAATTTTTGCCACAGTTTCTAGAAGTGGTACAGACATGGCAATATAAGCGCTGTCAGTCCACAAGTTTAAGGGCATGTCAGGAAAAGCAGAAAAAATTGCAATGACTGCCTGCAGAATAGCCAATTGATTTGATTTTTAGTATATGGCTGAATGATCATATCAGGGTCCTTACCAACGTAAGTTACACTTAAGTTTCATGCCAAAATGATAATATCAGCCACTGCCTGATAATAAGGGTATATGACTTTTGTAGGAGAGGACGGAAGGTGAATCCACATAATTGGTGTCGATTACCAGAACACAGCCGTGGGTGTGATTGTGGTACAACAAATGATAAGGAGTAACGGCTGTTTGTAATTTTTGGCTGTAACAAATTGAGAAGTGCCTGACGGCCTTCCTCTGTAAGCATTCGAGGGGATCTAGGATTGGGGTCTCCCTGTAGAATATTGAACAAGGGTTTAAGTTGGCCTGTGGTTAGTTTAAGGTATGGGCGGATCCAATTGATATCACCCAATAACTTTTGAAAGTCATTCAAGGTTTTTAAATTGTGAAGTTTGAACTGTATTTTATGAGTAATGATTTTTTTGGCCAGAAAGATGATGTCCTAAGTAAGTATATGGGTCTTTTTAAATTTCTATGGTATCTTTACTATCTGTTTGAGTTTTATTTCTTTGCATAATTTGTTCTCCCTTTGCGACAACTGCCACAATTTTAGGGTCAGTTGGCCAGAACCTAATGATCTCATCTATTAGGTTCCAATAAGAGAAGGTTATTATTGGGAGCTTTTCCAGTTCAAAGGTGACGTAGTAATCTTTTAAAGCATCACCTACCCTCTTCCACCTTTGTTCATCAATGGTACCTTCTTGGGGAAACCAGGGGCACACATCTTTTAGAAGATCAAAAAAGGAAAGTAACTGTTTAATCTTAATTTTAACCCCACGTGTCTTAAGGATTTTATTAAGCCCATGAACAAATAACTCATGTTTACTCATTTCTTGTCCCATAATCACCCTTATTACTTATGAGTAAGCAACCTTTGTTACTTACCGGGACGATTCTCTGCCGTCACCTTCTGGACGATTCTCTGCCATTCTCTTCTGTTTTCTGCCACGGCTTTCTGTATTCCGGTGCTCTTCACTGGATCCCTCGTACTCAGGTCCCTGTTTGGCCATGTGTCCCGGAAATTGCCCTAAATGCAAATGAGGGATTCTGGCTCAACCAATCGGTGAGTGTCCTGCATGGTGACCAATCAGCATGAGGATTCAGAGGGAGTCAATGAGGAGTCCGATATGGCTTTCTGGGGATTGTTAGAACCATCACTGTTATTGTTTGCTCAATGGGGAAGTGAAACCCAGTTTCTTAAGATGGAAGATAGCTCTTAAGATGGCTCCCATGTCGTTCACTTAATGCAGCGCTCTCCACAGAAATGGTTCTTATTAAAGATATTAGAATCATTAGCCATCAGGGAAATGCAAATAAAAATCTCATTTGATATAGTACTTCACACATACTAAGATGACTATAATTAAAAGGACCTATAATAATAAGTGTTGGTGAGGACCTGAAGAAATTATAAACCTCTTTCATTTCTCTTAGCAATGTAAAATGGTGTCAGTTTTAAAAACAGTTTGGCAGTACTTCAAAAAGTTAAGCAGAGTTACCATAAGAGCAGAGTTACCATAAGATACAGCGCTTGTAGCCATAAGATAAATTAAAATATATATCCACCAGTAATTTGCACATAAATGTTCATTATTCATAATAGCCAAAAAGAAAAGTGACCAAATATCTACCTCATAATAAATGAAATGTCATATTCCATTAAATAGAAACTATGTAGCCATAGGAAGGTTTAAAGTACTGATACTTTTTTTTTTTTTTGAGAGAGAGAGAGGTTTTTGCTATAGGGCGCATGCACTCACCAGACAGACAGAGAGAGACAGAGAGAGAGAAAGTGAGAAATCACCCCCCAGGGGGGATGGCCACGCTGCAATCCGTTCTCCTCCATTCTCCTCTCGGGATCCTGGGCACGCACCCACACATACCCAGTGTGAGTTTTAAGCCACCGGGTCCGGGACGCGAACCGCGGTCAACTACATGGTAGTCCAGCGACATAGCCATTATGCTAACTGCTGGTCCCAAGTATTGATACTTTCTATAATATGAATGAACCTTAAAAACACATCCTGGGACCAGCAGATGGTGTAACGGTTATGTTTCTGGACTCCCACATGGTCGACTGAGGTTTGAGTCCTAGACCCGGCAGCTTCACACTCATGCCAGGCACATGTGTGTGTGTCCCCAGAATCCCGAGAGGAGAATGGAGGAGAAGGGATTGCAGAGTAGCCATCCCCCTGAGGGGGGGGGTGGTGATTTCTTACTTTCTGTCTCTCTGTCTCTCTGAAGAGCTCATGCACCCTATAAAAAAAATCTCTTATACACACACACACACACACACACACACACACAGAGATATATCCTAAGTGCAAGAAGTCAGACACAAAAGACGAATATTATATTTTTGCAGTTATATGAAACATCCAGAATAGGACTAACCAGAGACTCAGAAAGCAAATCCTTTTGGTCTTTTTTTATCTGATGTGAAGAAGAAGCATAGAAATGGTGCTCAGTAAAGATTTTAGAATTGTTAGCCATTAGCAAAATACACAAATAAAAACTTGATATAGTACTTCACATGCTAGGATACAGTGGCTGTCTTGGACAGTAAGATTTGGGGGATGTGAGGGAGCGATTGCTGTGAGTACGGGGCTTTTAGAGAAGGGGGTAATGAGAATGTTCTCAAATATCAGTGGGTCGGAGCACCCAGAGCATGTGGCATAATGATGTGTGAACACTCTGCACAGGGGTCATTGTTGGCATCGCAGTGGTCAAGAGCACTGTTACAATTGAAGCTGAAATGTTTATGGTTTCTACACTTAAGAATTTTCCAGAATGAAAAAGTGATCTAGGTGCTAATCTTACTAGAGATTCCATGTTTTCCAGCCAGTTTCTTCAGTTCTCCTTTGACTTCCTTATTTCTCAGGCTGTAGATGATGGGGTTCAACATGGGGGTCACAATACAGAAGAGCACAGAGACCAGGATGTCCATATCGAGGTTGTAGCCTACATCAGGTCTGTCATAGTTGAAGTTGGCTGTTCCAAAGAAGACCACCACCACAGTGAGGTGGGATGCACAGGTAGAGAAGGCCTTGCTCCGGCCCTGAGCAGAGGGAATCTTCAGGATGGCAGAGATGATGAGAATGTAGGACACTGCAGTAAACAGGCAGGGGCTCAGGCCAATGGTGGCGCTGGCCACGTGGAGCACAGACTCGTTGACAGAGGTGTCTGAGCAGGAGAGCTTCAGGAGTAAGGGGACGTCACAGAGAAAGTGGCTGATCTGGTTGGGCCCACACAGACTGAGTGTGGCTGTCAGCCCTGTGTGTGTCATAGAATTCACCAGCCCACACAGCCAGGACCCAGCCACCAAGTACGCACACACTGTCACGCTCATGAGAACCGGATATTGAAGAGGGCGACAGATGGCTACATAGCGATCATAAGCCATAGCAGCCAATAAGACACATTCAGTGCCAGCGCATGTCACAAAGAAAAAGACCTGGGAAAGGCAGCCCTCGTAGGAGATGGTCTTCTTCTCCCGGAAGAAGTTCACCAGCATGACGGGAACGGTGGTAGATGTGTAGCAGATGTCCAAGAAGCTCAAGTTGCTGAGGAAGTAATACATTGGCGTGTGAAGAGCAGGACTGACCCTGGTGGCTGTGATTATGAGCATGTTTCCCAGCAGAGTTGTCAGGTAAATGACCAGGAAGATCAAAAAGAACAAGGCCTGTAGGTTGGAATGGTTGGAAAATCCCAGGAGGATGAATTCAGTGACATAGGTTTGATTGTTCATTTCAAATGATGTCACAGCTACAAAACAGAGAAAAAAGTAATCATAGCAAGAATATACTGAGACCACCTGAAATGTGTTTGTGAACTGGTAAGGCCATGACAAATAATGTTGGACAGAGAGCAGCCTGGGCAGGAGGGACCTGTAGGACTGACCTCAGGGAGACTGTGACTTCTCACTCAGACCCAGCCAGTGCAGGCCTACGGACCTCCAAAAGATCTGTATGGCTGTTGGTTGTTGACAATAAATGGAGATTTGGTTAAAACCAACGAAAAGTCATTAACCCTTGCATTAGTATGAACTTATCTCTTACTTTCTCAATCACGTCTCCCTCCTAATGTTGCCCCCATTTTTTGATCAATAGCTATTTTTTTCTATGAAATATATTTTTGCTGCAAAAAATTATGAAAATGCAGAGGGCCAGCCCCAAAGCACAGTGATTGGGTGCAGTGCAAAGGGATTGAATCTTTCATGGCTGACTATGGTTCGGGTCCCAACCTTGGTGGTTCGAGGAGCACTCCTGTGTGTGTGCATGCTTGTTCAAGGTCCTGATGGGATAAGGAGTGGAGGAGAAGGGATTGTGGTACGACAATGACCCAATGGGGGGTGTTTTCTCTCTCTCACTCTGTCAAGCACATGTGTTCTTTGGCAAAATCAATTAAAGAAAAAGAAAGAGAGAGAGACAGAGACAGAGAAAAGAAAAAAGAGAGAAAGAAAGAAAAAAGAAACAAGAAGGAAAAAAAGAAAATGCAGAAAGCTATAAAGAATTCAGTCATCTGCAGAATCAGTGCTACCTTTCACCATATGCCTCTGTCATAGCTTCCCCACCCCGTCATTTTACATAAATTTTGATCTCTCTTGTAGTTTTAAAACATTAGGAGGGCCAGGAGGTGGTGTAATCTTCAGGTGCTGGACTGCCACATGGTCGACCACAATTCAAGTTCCGGACCCAGTGACTTACAAAATCACGCTGAGTGTGTGTGCATGCATGCCCAAACTCCTGAGAGGAGGGATTGAGGTGTGGTCTTCCTCCCGGGGGGCGGGGGGGGATTTCTCACTTTCCTTTTCTCTATGTCTGTCTGTCTCTTTCTTGGTGAATGTACTTGCCCTATAGCAAAAATCCAAAATAATAATAATAATAATAATAATTAGGGGGACAATTTTCCAGACCAGAAATGAAGAACTGTCTTTCTTCACAACTTGAATGATCCTATTTATAGAAACACCAACTAATTCACTAGAAAGCTACCAGAATTAATGAACAAATTCCAAATAAACAAATTCAGCAAAGTTGAATGCAAAAAAATCAGGTATCTTTCTATACACTAGCAGTGATGATCCCAAAAGAAATTAAGAAATCAATTCCATTTACAACATACTTAAAATAATGAAGTACTTAAAGAAAATCTTACTAGTAGGTGAAAGACTTGTACACTGAAAACTACAAAACATTGCTGAAAGAAATTAAAGATAATCTAAATAAGTGGAAAGGTATCCTATTGTTCATACATACAAAGACAACATTGTTAAGATGTCAATACTACTCTAAGTAGTACAGAGACAGTGCAGTCCCCGTCAAATTCCAGCACCCTTTTTGACAGAAATGGGAAAGCCCATTTTCAAATTTATATGGCATTAGAAGGGTTCTTGAATAGCTCAAACAATCTTGAAAGACAAGAATCAAGTAGAGGGGACTCATACCTCCTGCTTCCACCTCCTCTTCCCATTTTTTGTTTGTTTTTTAGATATTTTTGCTATAGGGCACATGAGCTTCCTGGAGAGACAGAAAGCGAAAAATCACCCCACAGGGAGGTTGGCCACTCCACAATCTCTTCTCCATTCTCCTCTTAGGATTTTAGGCCCCCATGCCCATGGACCCAGTGTGAGTTTCAAGCCACCAGATCAAAGACTCGAAATGCAGTTGCCCATATGGGAGTCCAGTACCTTAACCACTATGCCATCTGCCCCTGAACCAGCTTCTTATGGCAGGCCAGGAATTGAATCTAGGTCTGCAATATGGCTTCTGCCTGCCATGTAACAGCATCAGAAGCATATACTAACATGGCAGGGCCCTTTGTCTTTTTACTGTAGTGTTTTGTCATTTACATTTTCTATATTGCTGACATGATTAAGCCTAGTATTTTTCCATTAATTTTCCATTTGTCCCATTTGACCTTCTTTTGAATTGAGATTTATTATTATTATTATCATTCCATTTTATCTCCTCTATGGGTTTTTGGATATATTTCTTATATTATTTTTTAGTGCTTATTCTGTGTATTATTTATGCATCATCTATGTAATATAGTCTAACATAATTTTTTAGAGAGAGATTTTTGCTACAGGGCACATACACTTGCCAGAGAGACAGAGAGAGACAGAGAGACAAAAGAGGAAGAAATGAATCCCTCTGCCAGGTGGGATGACCATGCTGCAATCCCTTCTCCCTTTTGGGATTTTGGACACACACACACATACACATACCCAGCATGAGTTTTAAGCTGCCAGGTCTGGGACCCAAACTGTGGTTGGCCATGTGGGAATCCAGCAATGTAACCATTACACCATCTGCTGATCCTTTCTACCATTATTATTAAGGAACAATGCAAAAACATTACAAAATACTCTTCCACTTTTTTCTCCCCCCTTCCCTTAGTACTGGTATTATTACATGTTTCATTTCTATGTTACAAGCTCTCCAATATATTGCTATTACTTTTGCTTTGAACAGTGATAACTTTAAAACATTTTGAAAGATTGGCCAGCAGGTGGCATGGTGGTTAAGGTGCTGGACTCCCACATGGATGACCATGATTCAAATCCCAGACCTGGTGGCTTGCCTTCTCACTTTCTTTCTCTCTCTCTTCCTCTCCGTGTCTGCCTCTCTCTGGTGAATATATGTGTACTATAGCAAACAAAATAATAAT